TAAAATAATTATGAATAAAATATGATTTATTAATATGTAAGTTATGGTATATTAAAAAAGTTATTTTTAATAAGTAGGCTGAAATCTAAGATAATGTCTATGTTTAGCTCAAATTTTTATTAATGTGAGAATTTCATTGAACTTAAATATAAGCTAAAACCTATTAATTTCAAATCTATAGCTAGCTGTGTTTTATATAGTTAGAGTAAACTTATGCATACAAACAGTGAGGGTCAAAAGTAAGCGGACGTATTTCATAAGATACTATCTAAGGAGGTTTGTTAAATTAATAATATTTCTTTGGTGTTTATTTAATTTTGATGCTCACTATTAAAGATTTATATCACCCAACTAGTTAAATTCACGTGTTCTCAGTTTAACTAACCATTTACACAAATAAAATCAAGCCGAGAAGATGTTTTAATGACCCCAATTTTGACACATAACATTAACAATAATAATAACTTTTAAATAGACATAAAAGTATCAACATGTAAAATTAACTAAAAAATTTAAGAATATAATTTTTAAACTAATACCAGCAATTATAAACAAAATAAAAAAAAATTGTGAATTCCACCTTAAAAAACTGATCATTAATCACGTCAATCAAATAACAGAAAACGTTACAGTACCAGCACACGGTTAGTAACAGAAATTATTTACAAGTTATAAAACTCTTTTCATTTTGTTTAATTTTCAAATTTGTTTTGAGTTTTTTTTTTCACTAAATAGTTACCACCTTTAGACACCTCTTTTTGTCTGAATTTAATATTTAATTTTAAAATTTATTGTCAGTTTTATTTCTTTAATTATAATTCATTTAAATGGTTTCAATAACTACAATTAATGTTATTTATCAATATTTGTACGAATTAAATGTGTTTTTAGTTTATTTTTATTTTCTTACCATTCATGATGTGTTTGATCTACAGAAATCATTAACTTTTGTCATTAACTATTGCTATAGGTCACGGAAGTTTAATAATATTTGAACTAGACCTACTAGTTGTGTTTTTTTTTTTTTATAGAAAACAAATAAATAGTGGCACGTAAATAAACAAAAACAACTAACCGCGTTTTTAAGGTAAACAAAAAAAGTGGCAAACAGAGCTCCAGTTGAGTTCTCTTGTCATATGAAACATTTTTGCCAAATTATAAATTGAAATTATTATTTAAATTTTTCAAACATAATACATGAAATTGGTTAGTTAATTTTGCAATTTACTAACCAACTGGATTAACTTCGCTTTCTCAATTTTCCATTTTTATTTCAAACAACTGATTCTTCTTTACATTTCCAATTTCCTAAATTTTCTTATTATTAAAAACTGCTTCCCCAGAACCGGAAAATTACACTTATGAATATCTATTAACAAAACAAAAGTTCAGATGAGTATGTTCATTTTTGAAACTCCAACCAGTTTTCATTTTCAATCATCTTCAAAATCTATCATTTTAAAATTGTCAGCTCATTATACATATAAATTAAATAACGTCGCCACATTAGCGCTGAATATCATTAAGAAACAACAATCAAAATACAGCTAAAGATACATTCATTAATTCGAGTAAATATTTATATTTAACGGATATTACGTGCACAATTTTATTTATGATTTGTTTTCTTCATTCATCTTTGTTGTGTTTTTTCCCCCAAAATAAATTTATTGATTTTCTAAAAATTTACTTTTTATGAAGACAATGATTCAAACATAAAATGCACTATAATACTTATGAAAATATCCCAGTAAAAGTTTTAATCTACAGAGCAGACAATAGACCAGACTATAGACCGGAACAGACTATAGACTAGACTATGGACTGGGCTATAGACTAGACTATGGACTGGGCTATAGACTAGACTATAGACTAAACTATAGACTAGACTATATACTGGACTATACTAGACTATAGACTAGACTATAGACTAGACTATAGACTAGACTATAGACTAGACTAGACTAGACTATAGACTAGACTATAGACTAGACTATAGACGAGACTATAGACTAGACTATAGACTAGACTATAGACTAGACTATAGACTAGACTATAGACTAGACTATAGACTAGACTATAGACTACACTATAGACTAGACTATAGACTGGACTATAGACTAGACTATAGACTAGACTATAGACTAGACTATAGACTAGACTATAGACTAGACTATAGACTAGACTATAGACTAGACTATAGACTAACTATAGACTAGACTATAGACTAGACTATAGACTAGACTATAGTCTAGAATATAGACTAGACTATAGACTAGACTATAGACTAGACTATAGACTAGACTATAGACTAGACTATAAGACTAGACTATAACTAGACTATAGACTAGACTATAGACTAGACTATAGACTAGCTATAGACTAGACTATAGACTAACTATAGACTAGACTATATACTGACATAGACTAGACTATAGCTAGACTATAGACTAGACTATAGACTAGACTATAGACTAGACTATAGACTAGACTATAGACTAGACTATAGACTAGACTATAGACTAGACTATAGACTAGACTATAGACTAGACTATAGACTAGACTATAGACTAGACTATAGACTAGACTATAGACTAGACTATAGACTAGACTATAGACTAGACAATAGACTAGACTATAGACTAGACTATAGACTAGACTATAGACTAGACTATAGACTAGACTATAGACTAGACTATAGAATAGACTATAGACTAGACTATAGACTAGACTATAGACTAGACTATAGACTAGACTATAGACTAGACTATAGGCTAGACTATAGACTAGACTATAGACTAGACTATAGACTAGACTATAGACTAGACTATAGACTAGACTATAGACTAGACTATAGACTAGACTATAGACTAGACTATAGACTAGACTATAGACTAGACTATAGACCAGTCTATAGACTAGACTATAGACTAGACTATAGACCAGTCTAGACTAGACTATAGACTAGACTATAGACTAGACTATAGACTAGACTATAGACCAGACTATAAACCAGACTATAGTCTGTAGTCTATAGACTATAGACAGTCTAGACTATAGACTAGACTATAGACTAGACTATAGACTAGACTATAGACTAGACTATAGACTAGACTATAGACTAGACTATAGACTAGACTATAGACTAGACTATAGACTAGACTATAGACTAGACTATAGACTAGACTATAGACTAGACTATAGACTAGACTATAGACTAGACTATAGACTAGACTATAGACTAGACTATAGACTAGACTATAGACTAGACTATAGACTAGACTATAGACTAGACTATAGACTAGACTATAGACTAGACTATAGACTAGACTATAGACTAGACTATAGACTAGAATATAGACTAGACTATAGACTAGACTATAGACTAGACTATAGACTAGACTATAGACTAGAATATAGACTAGAATATAGACTAGACTATAGACTAGACTATAGACTAGACTATAGACTAGACTATAGACTAGACTATAGACTAGACTATAGACTAGATATGACTAGACTATAGACTAGACTTAGACTAGACTATAGACTAGACTATAGACTAGACTATAGACTAGACTAGAGACTAGACTATAGACTAGACTATAGACTAGACTATAGACTAGACTATAGACTAGACTATAGACTAGACTATAGACTAGACTATAGACTAGACTATAGACTAGACTATAGACTAGCTATAGACTAGACTAGGACTAGACTAGACTAGACTATAGACTAGACTATAGACTAGACTATAGACTAGACTATACTAGACTAGACTATAGACTCTAGACTAGACTATAGACTAGACTATAGACTAGACTATAGACTAGACTATAGACCAGACTATAGACTAGACTATAGACTAGACTATAGACTAGACTTATAGACTAGACTATAGAGGCAGAAATACATTACTGCATTACAAATTCAAAAATATATATTTTGCTGGGATGTATTGATACATTTAATATGGAATCTCATATGAATACGTCATGATATTGCTTTTATGATAAATAAAACAACAATTTTAATGAACAATTTAAGTTTTATTAACTGTTATTTTTGGATAAAGTTTTAATAGGTTTTCTAAAAAAAAAATTGATTTAAATAAATAAAATAATCAAAAGTTTTTTTGAAAGTGTAACGATAACAAAACAAACTGAGACCGAAGTTATGTATACGAATCGATTAATCGAGTTTGTATATTAATGATTTTTACTCGATCATAAATGTTATGATTAGGTTGATGTGTAGTTTTTTAATTTAATTATGTACTTTTCTGAATAAACCTGGGACCAAAATTCTGTAAATTTAAAAAAATACTCTAAATTTATGTTTTAAAATTATTGTCATCAACGTTTGTTAAGTTGCGGTTATTTTTCATCATTTATCATTTGAAATACCAAACAGTTATTAATATAATTTTAATAAACCGAAAAAGAATATGAAAACAGAAAAACATACACTAATTAAATGTGTTAATGACCTTGTAAAATTAAAAAAAAATGTAAAATATCTGACCACAACAAATTTTGTGATAATTATTAAAAAGATGTCAATATCATGTTATAATTGTAACTGAATATAACAGATGATTTATTATTTATTAAAATCTACACTTTCCATGTTTCGTTAAACTATTAAAATGATTAATTTGAGGCAATAGTACTGTTTTTGTAAACAAAAGTAAGTCATTGTAGTCAAGAAGTGTTTTTATTTTATAAATTTTAAGGGAGTGTAACACACACATACTTACGAGAAAAAACGTAAGCCTGTTTATTTTTATTTTTTTATTTTCAATATTTAATTGTTCATTTGGAAAAAATGGAAAAAAAATTAAAAAAATGGTAGTCATTCGTAACAACAAGTACAAGATTTCATTTATTGATTTTTTTTAGCAACAAAACGCTTTAAACATTTAAACGCAAATCAATAAAAACAACAAAAAAAATAAAATATTTAAATGACACAATATTCACTTTCCATTTAATTTTTATTGTTACTGAATAAATGTTATTTTTGGGTTAAATTAAAAACTGTCTTAATACAAAAAAACCTTCATATATTTTGAGTAAATGAAACTGGTACATGATTTTAATGACTCTTTTTTAACGGTTTTAATGAAAATAATGCTGTTTTAAGAAGACTTTTTTAAATCAGAAAGAAAAAGAAAACAAATAAACAATTAATAGCTTAATTATACTGATATTTAAGAATGTCTTATATAATAATTAAAATTCTTAAATTTGAGATACTTAAAATTATTTAGATGTGTACTCTATTTTGTTGTTCAGGGTATGGAATGTGTGATCTAGTAGTAGTGACCGTGTAGACCATGATAACCATAGTAACCACCATAGTAGGGATAACCTGTATAAAGTAAAGAATGAGAGAGAAAAGAATTAGTTCAGACTCTTTTATAGTAATACTTAGGGGAGAAATTGTCACTGTGGAATAGAGCAGAGCTTTCGATAACACTGTGGGCAACCTAACTATACTATAAATGAAGTAACTAACATCCTATAACTAACTAACTAACTAACTAACTAACTAACTAACTAACTAACTAACTAACTAACTAACTAACTAACTAACTAACTAACTAACTACTAACTAACTAACTAACTAACTAACTAACTAACTAACTAACTAACTAACTAACTAACTAACTAACTAACTAACTAACTAACTAACTAACTAACTAACTAACTAACTACTAACTAACTAACTAACTAACTAACTACTAACTAACTAACTAACTAACTAACTAACTAACTAACTAACTAACTACTAACTAACTAACTAACTAACTAACTAACTAACTAACTAACTAACTAACTAACTAACTAACTAACTAACTAACTAACTAACTAACTACTAACTAACTAACTAACTAACTAACTAACTAACTAACTATCTAACTAACTAACTAACTAACTAACTAACTAACTAACTAACTAACTAACTAACTAACTAACTAACTAACTAACTAACTAACTAACTAACTAACTAACTAACTAACTAACTAACTAACTAACTAACTACTAACTAACTAACTAACTAACTAACTAACTAACTAACTAACTAACTAACTAACTAACTAACTAACTAACTAACTAACTAACTAACTAACTAACTAACTACTAACTAACTAACTAACTAACTAACTAACTAACTAACTAACTAACTACTAACTAACTAACTAACTAACTAACTAACTAACTAACTAACTAACTAACTAACTAACTAACTAACTAACTAACTAACTAACTAACTAACTACTAACTAACTAACTAACTAACTAACTAACTAACTAACTAACTAACTAACTAACTAACTAACTAACTAACTAACTAACTAACTAACTAACTCACTAACTATAATAAAGAGACATATCTATTTCAAAAAAAAAAAAAATAAAAAAAAAAGTTTATAAACAATAGAAAAATTTTAAAAAAATTTGTATTAAAAAATAGACTTTTTCTATAAAAAAGGAAATTTAAAAAAAAAATTTATATAAAAATTTAAAAAAAAAAAAAAATTAAAAAAAACATTTATATAAAAATTTTCTATAAAAAAAATTTTTGATCTTTTTCTTTAAAAAAAATTTTAGAAAGAAATAGAAATTTTCAAAAATTTTCTTTAAAAAGAGATATTTTTGAAAATTTTCTATAAAACATAAAGAATTTATTTAAATTTTCTAAAAAAATAATATAAAAAGGGAGTTTTCGATAATTTTCTATAAAATAACATTATCAATATAAACAGTTGAACCGATTTTCTTGAAATTTTCACAGTGTCTTACGGTAGATCTGGAAGGAAGGTAGCCTTTTGTTTTTGAATTTCAACTTGGCGAGGTGCCACGCCTACATACGAAATAAGTATTAAAAGTCGCATATCTCAGAAACTGCAACAGCTAGAATCCTCAAATTTTGTATGAACAATCCATAGGAATACATGTTGATAAAATGGGCAGCCTAGCTACAGTGGGTGTGGCACCTCCCATATAAAAAAAATCTTAAATTAGTATATCGGAGAAAATATAACAGTTAGAGACCTCAAACTTTGGTATCGACATGAATAGTTAGGACAAAGAATGGGCCGACTGCCGATAGAGGGCGTGGCACCTTCCATATGAATTATATTTTATATATTATATTTTAGGGTAGCAAAGCACACTGGGTATAGCTAGTTTTCTATAAAAATTGAAATTTTCCAAAAAAAAAAAAAAAAAATTCAAAAATTTTTCTGTAAAAAAGATAAATTTTTGAGAATTTTCTACAAAAACAAAATTTTAATAATAATAATTTTGGAAAAAATTAAATTTTGAATATAATATCTAATGGGTTTGAGTTATTTAGCACTTTGAAGAACCGTATTTTTTTTTTTTTTTTTTGTATAACACTATTTTAAGTCCAAAACATTCGATATCAAATGAATTAAGTTTCAAATAATAGATTTGAAGAATGATCATCGTCCTTTTATCTCTAATTTCGGTGTATTTCGATTTAAGCGATAGATTTAAGTGAGAAGGCAACATATTTTCATATTTTATGTACATAAATATATTTTTTTATTTTAGGAATCATCACTGGTCTTTGACCATTTCGGAGGATCATATTTTGGTGAGTGATCACATATTTTTTTTTCTTTTCTATTTATTGTCAAAAATATAAATTCTTGTCAGATTGCTAAATGTAAATTTTCAGATTAAGGATTTTCTATAAATAATATAATCTTGATAAATTTGAATAAATCTTTAAAAAAATCACATAATTTAATCCTTTAACCTTAAACTTATGTTATTTAAGATCCTATTAAGTCACTTTATTCCCTTGATATTTTGAATATTTCCGAAGGAATCTATTGCTTTAGATAAATTTCACAAATCCACTTACCCAAACCATAGTATCCCCCTAAACCACCATAACCCGCCATAATAAGGATAATAACCACCATAACCACCGTAATGGCCACCAAAATATGGTGATGAATAAAAGCCATAACCATATGAAGAAGAACCTTCTAAATCAGATTCAGAATCCTTTTCGGCAACAGCTGCAGTACCCGTATCTAAATCCTCAGCTTCAGCTAGACTTGAAGTGGGAGCTGAAGTCACCACTGAACAACACACCAAAACAATTAAAAATAAATAGAAAATTTGGAAAAACTTAGACATTTTGAACACTTAGAAATTTTGAGATAAGAACAAGATTAGGGTTCTGATTATTTGTTTTTATTTTAAACACTGGACAATTACAACTGACACTGACTACAACAATGCAAAAGGTTTTTATATAAAGTTTTAAAAATACTCCATTAAGAATTTTTTACTTTAATTTTCCAACACAACAACAAATGGGAAATTTAATAGTATTTTGTTATTATAAGTGATTTGCCTAATAAGCCAAAAACAAATATTAATTTTCTATATAGAAAAAAAAAAAACATTTTGCACGTAAAGAAAACAATTCTTATGAAAATTACAAACAATAAATAGAAAAATATTGTTAAAATACAACTAAACTTTATTGTTAAAATTTTCAAGGTTTTTTTAACGTTTTCAAAGACACCACCAACCTTTAGGTTGTGAGTTTAGTTGAAACTGTTAGAATTGTAGGCGTGTGCCAGCCATGCAGTCAACCGACGAATTTTTTTTTTTATTGTCTAAACTCACTGACTGACTGACTAACTGCGTAAAATTTGTGTAAAATAAATTGCGTGGAAAATGCTTCATTGATCTTTGGATTTTGTTAACTTTTTAACAACTTACTTACATTTTGTGTAAAACTATTTACAACTTATTGTAAATGGGCAGTTTTATTCTGAGGAGTCTAATTCAAGTTGTTACAGTGATTCTTGTCTAGGTTATTTAAGTTGTATTTGCCATCTATATACGATCCATAGTCTGGTCTATAGTCTGACTCACAGTATTTTCTACAGTCCCATCTATTATCTACTCTGTATTCTGGATTCTACTCTGATCTAAAACCCCGTCTACGTTTTAGTCTGGTCTATAACCTCATATATTATAATATAATAATAATGAATGGTTTGACCATAATTTAATCTGATCTATAGCTTAGTCTATAGTTTCTATAACCGTCTATTATCTAGTCCACAGTCTGGTCCATAATATAGTCTACAGTTTGGTATATTTTTTGTCTATAGCCTCATCTATAGTCTCGTCTATAATTTAATCTATAATTTGGTCCATAGTCTGATCTATAGAATGGCATATAGTCTGATGTATAGGCTGTTCCATAGTGTGATCAGTAGCGTAGTTAATAGTCCGGTCTATCATTTGGCCTATAGTCTGATCTGTGGTTTAGTCTATTGACTTGTCTATAGTCTGGTCTATAGACTGGTCTATAGACTGGTCTATAATCTGGTCCTTGCTCTAGTTTATAGTTTGGTATATAGTCTGATTTATTATCTATAGCCAAGTCTATAGTCTAGACTATAGCCAAGTCTATAGTCTAGTCTATAGCCAAGTCTATAGTCTAGTCCATAGCCAAGTCTATAGTCTAGTCTATAGCCAAGTCTATAGTCTAGTCTATAGCCAAGTCTATAGTCTATAGTCTAGTCTAGTCTAGTCCTATAGTCTAGTCTATAGTCTATATGTCTAGTCTATAGTCTAGTCTATAGTCTAGTCTATAGTATAGGCTATAGTCTAGTCTATAGTCTAGTCTAGTCTATAGTCTAGTCTATAGTCTAGGTCTATAGTCTAGTCTTAGTCTAGTCTATAGTCTAGTCTATAGTCTAGTCTATAGTCTAGTCTATAGTCTAGTCTATAGTCTAGTCTATAGTCTAGTCTATAGTCTTAGTCTATAGTCTAGTCTATAGTCTAGTCTATAGTCTAGTCTATAGTCTAGTCTATAGTCTAGTCAATAGTCTAGTCTATAGTCTAGTCAATAGTCTAGTCTATAGTCTAGTCATAGTCTAGTCTATAGTCTAGTCTATAGTCTAGTCTATAGTAGTCTGTCTCGTAGTCTATAGTCCTAGTAGTCTAGTCTAGTCTCGTCTATCTAGTCTAGTCTATAGTCTAGTCTATAGTCTAGTCTATTAGTCTAGTCCTATAGTCTAGTCTATAGTCTAGTCTATAGTCTAGTCTATATCTAGTCTATAGTCTAGTCTATAGTCTAGTCTATAGTCTAGTCTATAGTCTAGTCTATAGTCTAGTCTATAGTCTAGTCTATAGTCTAGTCTATAGTCTAGTCTGTCTCGTCTAGTCTATAGTCTAGTCTATAGTCTAGTCTATAGTCTAGTCTATAGTCTAGTCTATAGTCTAGTCTATAGTCTAGTCTATAGTCTAGTCTATAGTCTTGTCTATAGTCTAGTCTATAGTCTAGTCTATAGTCTAGTCTATAGTCTAGTCTATAGTCTAGTCTATAGTCTAGTCTTTAGTCTAGTCTATAGTCTAGTCTATAGTCTAGTCTATAGTCTAGTCTATAGTCTAGTCTATAGTCTAGTCTATAGTCTAGTCTATAGTCTAGTCTATAGTCTAGTCTATAGTCTAGTCTATAGTCTAGTCTATAGTCTAGTCTATAGTCTAGTCTATAGTCTAGTCTATAGTCTAGTCTATAGTCTAGTCTATAGTCTAGTCTATAGTCTAGTCTATAGTCTAGTCTATAGTCTAGTCTATAGTCTAGTCTATAGTCTAGTCTATAGTCTAGTCTATAGTCTAGTCTATAGTCTAGTCTATAGTCTAGTCTATAGTCTAGTCTATAGTCTAGTCTATAGTCTAGTCTATAGTCTAGTCTATAGTCTAGTCTATAGTCTAGTCTATAGTCTAGTCTATAGTCTAGTCTATAGTCTAGTCTATAGTCTAGTCTATAGTCTAGTCTATAGTCTAGTCTATAGTGTAGTCTATAGTCTAGTCTATAGTCTAGTCTATAGTCTAGTCTATAGTCTAGTCTATAGTCTAGTCTAGTCTATAGTCTAGTCTATAGTCTAGTCTATAGTCTAGTCTATAGTCTAGTCTGTAGTCTAGTCTATAGTCTAGTCTATAGTCTAGTCTATAGTCTAGTCTATAGTGTAGTCTATAGTCTAGTCTATAGTCTAGTCTATAGTCTAGTCTATAGTCTAGTCTATAGTCTAGTCTATAGTCTAGTCTATAGTCTAGTCTATAGTCTAGTCTATAGTCTAGTCTATAGTCATAGTCTAGTAGTCTAGTCTAGTATATCTAGTCTATAGTCTAGTCTATAGTCTAGTCTATAGTCTAGTCTTAGTCTAGTCTATAGTCTAGTCTATAGTCTAGTCTATAGTCTAGTCTATAGTCTAGTCTATAGTCTAGTCTATAGTCTAGTCTATAGTCTATAGTCTAGTCTATAGTCTAGTCTATAGTCTAGTCTATAGTCTAGTCCTATAGTCTAGTCTATAGTCTAGTCTATAGTCTAGGTCTATAGTCTAGTCTATAGTCTAGTCTATAGTCTAGTCTATAGTCTAGTCCTATAGTCTAGTCTATAGTCTAGTCTATAGTCTAGTCTATAGTCTAGTCTATAGTCTAGTCTATAGTCTAGTCTATAGTCTAGTCTATAGTCTAGTCTATAGTCTAGTCTATAGTCTAGTCTATAGTCTAGTCTATAGTCTAGTCTATAGTCTAGTCTATAGTCTAGTCTATAGTCTAGTCTATAGTCTAGTCTATAGTCTAGTCTATAGTCTAGTCTATAGTCTAGTCTATAGTCTAGTCTATAGTCTAGTCTATAGTCTAGTCTATAGTCTAGTCTATAGTCTAGTCTATAGTCTAGTCTATAGTCTAGTCTATAGACTAGTCTATAGTCTAGTCTATAGTCTAGTCTATAGTCTAGTCTATAGTCTAGTCTATAGTCTAGTCTATAGTCTAGTCTATAGTCTAGTCTATAGTCTAGTCTATAGTCTAGTCTATAGTCTAGTCTATAGTCTAGTCTATAGTCTAGTCTATAGTCTAGTCTATAGTCTAGTCTATAGTCTAGTCTATAGTCTAGTCTATAGTCTAGTCTATAGTAGTCTAGTCTAGTCTAGTCTAGTCTATAGTCTAGTCTATAGTCTAGTCTATAGTCAAGTCTATAGTCTAGTCTATAGTCTAGTCTATAGTCTAGTCTATAGTCTAGTCTATAGTCTAGTCTATAGTCTAGTCTATAGTCTAGTCTATAGTCTATAGTCTAGTCTATAGTCTAGTCTATAGTCTAGTCTATAGTCTAGTCTATAGTCTAGTCTATAGTCTAGTCTATAGTCTAGTCTATAGTCTAGTCTATAGTCTAGTCTATAGTCTAGTCTATAGTCTAGTCTATAGTCTAGTCTATAGTCTAGTCTATAGTCTAGTCTATAGTCTAGTCTATAGTCTAGTCTATAGTCTAGTTATAGTCTAGTCTATAGTCTAGTCTATAGTCTAGTCTATAGTCTAGTCTATAGTCTAGTCTATAGTCTAGTCTATAGTCTAGTCTATAGTCTAGTCTATAGTCTAGTCTATAGTCTAGTCTATAGTCTAGTCTATAGTCTAGTCTATAGTCTAGTCTATAGTCTAGTCTATAGTCTAGTCTATAGTCTAGTCTATAGTCTAGTCTATAGTCTAGTCTATAGTCTAGTCTATAGTCTAGTCTATAGTCTAGTCTATAGTCTAGTCTATAGTCTAGTCTATAGTCTAGTCTATAGTCTAGTCTATAGTCTAGTCTATAGTCTAGTCTATCTATAGTCTAGTCTATAGTCTAGTCTATAGTCTAGTCTATAGTCTAGTCTATAGTCTAGTCTATAGTCTAGTCTATAGTCTAGTCTATAGTCTAGTCTATAGTCTAGTCTATAGTCTAGTCTATAGTCTAGTCTATAGTCTAGTCTATAGTCTAGTCTATAGTCTAGTCTATAGTCTATAGTCTAGTCTATAGTTAGTCTATAGTCTAGTATAGTCTAGTCTATAGTCTAGTCTATAGTCTAGTCTATAGTCTAGTCTATAGTCTAGTCTATAGTCTAGTCTATAGTCTAGTCTATAGTCTAGTCTATAGTCTAGTCTATAGTCTAGTCTATAGTCTAGTCTATAGTCTAGTCTATAGTCTAGTCTATAGTCTAGTCTATAGTCTAGTCTATAGTCTAGTCTATAGTCTAGTCTATAGTCTAGTCTATAGTCTAGTCTATAGTCTAGTCTATAGTCTAGTCTATAGTCTAGTCTATAGTCTAGATTATAGTCTAGGTTATAGTCTAGTCTATAGTCTAGTCTATAGTCTAGTCTATAGTCTAGTCTATAGTCTAGTCTATAGTCTAGTCTATAGTCTAGGTTATAGT